AACGGGGGAGAGAGCAGTGGGATGGGGGGAAAGGCGGGGGGTGGAGGAGACGGGGGAGGAACCAGCGGGATGGGGGGGAATTTACCTCCTCCTGCTGCTTCCTCCTGGAGCTCCCTCCCCCCCTCCCGCGAGTATCGCGGGTCCCGCTTCTTGTACATACTAATTCCCTCACTTATTTAGGCCACTTCTACACTGGTTATTTGCCCCAGGTGCAATGATGTTGGTAACCAGGGTTTGTTTTCCTGCTTCCTCACAGCACTGAGGTATTTCACAACTCCTGAATTTCCCTGGTTTTTCTTCAGTCTTTCTCAAACCTGATTTGCGGCGAACTTTTGGGAAAAACCATAGTAAAGCCTGGAGATATAAGGGGAAAGACAATGAAAGGGGATAGAGACTTACATTTTTAAATGAAAACTTGGAATTCAGATAACCTGATACACAGATTGTGTTATATTTATCTAATTATAGTCGGCCGCTGATATTTTTTAAAAAGCTCTTTAAAAAGATGGTAATCATGCTATGTGGCTGCTCCATTGTTGCTCTGTTGTATCAATTGCCCTAGCAGTGATGGAGAAAACAAAGAAGAAGAAGAAGAAGAGGAGGAGGAGGAGATTGGATTTATATCCCGCCCTTCACTCAGAGTCTCAGAGCAGCTTACAAACTCCTTTCCCTTCCCCTCCCCACAACAGACACCCTGTGAGATAGGCAGGGCTGAGAGAGCTCTTTCCAGAACTGTCCTTGAGGGAACAGCTCTGACAGAACTATGGCTTGCCCAAGGTCATCCAGCAGCTGCAAGTGGAGGAGTGGGGAATCAAACCCAGTTCTCCCAGATTAGAGTCCACACACTTAACCACTACACCAAATTGGCTCTCTGTTTGTCTCTGTGTGAAAGCAACCTTAATATTTCTTTTTGTATCTTTGGACAAGGCCACCAAGTCCCCCATACATACAGACTTGCAGTATCTCTACAGTGTATGCCTCATGGAAGTGACTACAAAGCATCAGCACAGTAATTTGTAGATATTTTCTTTTATTGCAGCTTTGATGTGTGCTCTATTTAAATCAATCAATGAATGACAAAATATTTTCTAAGATGTTTCTTCTAAGGTCTTGTTCCCACTTTGCTTTAAAATTAGAATGCAAATTATCCCCTATTTTTAGTAGAAGCCCACAGAAATTGAGTGACCCTTTAAAAATGAAAAGAGTAATCAAGAAATCAACAACCTGGAACAATTTTCTAGAAATATTATGTTGGACCATAATTGGAGATTAAGAAGTTTTAGTTGCAGGTGTTGATTTGAAAAAAAAGTAGATTCAGTTTTAACATTTGTTGCTACATATGCTCGTTTAAAAAGGAATAGGAAGAATTCAATATAAAGGAGAAATAAAGTAACTGGTGATGGGGGTTTTATTTTATTTGTGTGTTTAGATTTCTCTTCTACACTACCTGGGGTTCAGACCTGAGAAGAAAATTCAGCTCCACATCTGACATTGCCTAGACCCATTCATTCATTTATCCTTATCCATCTGTATTCTATCATGTGAAATGCTGGCCTGGATGAATCACAAGGAGGAATTAAGATTGCTGGGGAAAACATCAACAACTTCAGATATGCAGAGGATACCACTCTAATGACAGAAAGTGAAGAGGACCAGGCCTCGCTTCCTGCCGGAGCACACCAGAGCACCGCTCCACCAGTCAGGAGCCCAGGGGGTGGGCACATAAGCCCCACCCCCTGCTCCCACCAGCCATCAGTTGGGCAACCATGGGGGGGCAAAATGTTCCCCACCTCCCTGAGCCCCAGGGTGGTGACCTTGGACTCGTAGGGGCAAATTCCACCTCTCACGCGAGAGGTCATTCTCGCTGTTTGGGGCTTTAAAGCTCAATACCAGCACCTTGAATTGAACTGAGACCCAGTGCAGATGGAACAAGACTGGAGTGGCATTAACTTTTCAATAATTGTCAAAGCAAATTAAATTGTCCTTTACATCCCAATATTTTTCTAAATACTCTTTAAAGTCTTTCCAATCTGCATTTAGTTAATGTTACTAGATGAAAGTTAATTAAGAGAAAATAATAGTAGAAAGAAGTGTTACCGGTAGACTATGATTAAAAGATAAGTGGAAAATAGAAAAGAACTAAGAAATGGGCTGGAGGTTGGAGCACTGTGGGAAGCCGGGGGTGGGGGGGGAGAGAAGAAAGGATGTATAATAAAAAATAATATGTTGTGTATTTGAACTAATAATATATCCTAATAAATTGTTTTTGAGGGGGGGGGAGACTGGAGTGGCATGTTCTCTACTACCCACTCCAGTCAGCGTTCTGTCCACAGCATTCTATATCAAATGTGGCTTCTGGACAATATTCAAGAGCAGCCCTATGTAGAGGACACTGCAGTAATCTAATCTAGATGTTACTAGTGCAGGCTCCACAGTGGCAAGATCTTTCCTGCTCCAGAACAGCCACAGCTGACTCACCAGTCAAAGCTCTTGAAAGGCGCCCCAGCCACTGCCACCACCTGCTTATCTGACAGGAGGCCTGGGTTCAGAAGCACCTCCAAGCTATGAATCTGCTCCTCTTGCTGAAGTGCAACCACATCCAGAGTAGGAGATATTGGAGTTCCTGGGTCAGACTGACCGACCCCTCTCCAGTGGCACCTCCACTTTGTCAGGATTATGTTTCAGTTCATTAGCCCTCATCCATCCCAAACCTGCATCCAGGCACCTGTTTGCAGTTTCCACTGCTTCCCTGGGATTTGCTGTTAGGGATCCCAGCCTCCAGGTGGGACTTGGGGATCCCACAGAATTATACCTCCAGACTATAGAAATCAGTTCTCCTGTAGAAAATGGTTGTTTCAGAGGGTGGACTCTATGGCATTATGCTTCACAGAGGTCCCTTTCCTCCCCAGGCTCCACTCCCAAATCTCCAGGACTTTCCCAACCTGGATCTTACACCCCTACCCCCCCATCATCTCCCGTCACTGGCCTGGAGGGATCTGGCAACCCTATATAGAGCTGAGTGTCATCCACATACCCAGCCGAAATCTCCATATGACCTCTCCCAGCAGCTTCATGTAGGTATTAAAAGGCACAGGAGGTAAGATGGAACATTGCGAGACCCTGTAGGCCAGAAGCCAAGGGGCTGAATGTCCCCTAGCACATTGAGGGAGGACTAAAATCACCACAAAAGGCACCTCCCTGCCCCCCCCCCTCCAAAAGTTACTATGATCACTGGTATCAAAAGCTGCTGAGACATCCAGGAGAACCACTTTGCCATCACTCTCCCAGCAAAGGTCATCAATCAGGGTGATCAAGGCCATTTCTGTTCCAAAGCGAGTCTTGATTCCAGATTGAAATGAGTGTAGATAATTTGTCTCTTCGAAGACTGCCTGAAGCTATGTAGCCACCACCTACTCAAACAGCTTGACCAAGAATGGAATATTAGCCTCTGGACAGTAGTTGTTTAGGTCATTACCTAGATTCACAACTTTATTTATTAAATAGAATCATATTTTTGCAACCACCACTGAAATTCCTCATAATATAGATTCACACTGTGCTCCACCCCACCCTCCATACCAGTGTTCCCTCTAAGCTGAGTTAGTGTGATCTAGCTCATAGTTTTTTAGCCTCCAGCTCACACATTTTTATATTAACTCAGGAAGGATGACTCCAGAGCAAACCGATTTATGCAGTAGTCAAATCACTTGCTCACAACTTTAATGCCAGTAGCTCACAAAGTAAAATTTTTGCACACGAGACTCTACAGCTTAGAGGGAGCATTGCTCCATACTATGCTGCAGCTTTTTGCATATGCTGAAAAGCTGCATCTGAGGATCAGAGATGCTCAACAGCAGCATGCAATAACAGCATAAAAGGAAGACTGTGTCAGCTGGAGGAGAAATTAGCATAAATTGGAGTCCTCACTTTGCACATAGAAAAATTATTCTTCTTCTGCTTGGGGCTCTCTGGATCCAAGTCATTGCAACATACCAGGAAAGCTTAGCCTGACTGGAGCTTAAAACACGTAGACCTTGGTCAAGGATCAAGAAGATGTGGGGGAAATTGGGGGGAGATGCAGGTCAAAATGCTGCCATGCAGCAAGTAGTGGGAAATTGAGCAGAATCTCTTGCTGAGAATGGAGAGTGCAAAAGTTGGCTTGAAACTCAACATCAAAAAAGCTAAGATCATGGCATCCAGCCCCATCACTCCTTGGCAAATAGAAGGGGAAGTCGTGGAAGCAGTGACAGAATTCACGTTCTGGGATCCAAGATCACTGCAGATGGTGACTGCAGCCATGAAATTAAAAGATGCCTGCTCCTTGGGAGGAAAGCTATGGCAAACCTAGACGGCATAATAAAAAGTAGAGACATCACCCTGACAACAAAAGTCCGCATGGTCAAAGCAATGGTATTCCCAATAGTAATGTATGGCTGTGAGAGTTGGACCATAAGGAAGGCCAAGCGCCGAAGAATAGATGCTTTTAAATTATGGAACTGGAGAAGACTCCAGAGAGTCTTGAATTACAACTAATCTCCGGACTACAAAGAAGTTTCCCTGTAGAAAATGGCAGTTTCAGAGGGCATACGCTATGGTATACCATCAATTCTAAGTTAAATCCTTTCCCAAATACCCCCCCTCGCAGTTATTCCCAAATCTCCAGGAATTTCTCAGGCTGGAGTTGGCAGCCCTAGAAGCCTGCCATCTTTTTAGCTGATTCTGCTCCTTTTTCCAGTACTGAAATCACAGGATACCCGTCCACTCTTATCTAGAGTCTTATTCTAGCACCATGAGCACAAAATAAGTGGACCCTTCCTCTTCCAGACAGGCAGAGTATGATTTCTTCTCTCCCATTCTGTTCTCTTCCTCAGATGTATCCCTCCATGTCTTTTTACCTGCTCTCTTTTAGCTCTTCCATCTCCTGTTCTTGGCCGGTCTGCCTCAATGCTAACTGGTCCTCCCCATAGCATCCCCCAACCAGTTAGGGACTTCTTCCCCTTTTAGTTAAGATTCTTTCCCCATTTATCCCACCACCCTATTGAGGCAACCCCCTCACCTATCTCCTTCATCTAAGTTGGTTTGTTCTGGACTACCCATGTGGTAGGACCACAGTTTGCGTCAACAGTAATTTTAGGATACAACTAACACAGCTTCATGTTAGAATTGTGCAAGTGTGGATGTTTTTATTGGACTGCTACGTATCAGTCGCCATGATGTTTTTGCCTTGACTTCACTCTTGTGAAGCGTAGTGTGGTAGTTAAGAGTGGCAGATTCTAATCTGGAGAGCCAGGTTTCATTCTCCATTCCTCCACAATAAGCCTGCTTGGTGAACCAGGGCTAGTTCTCTCAAACTCTCTCAGCCCCACCTACCACACAAGGTGCCTGTTGTGGGGAGGGGAAGAGAGGGAGATTCCAAGCTGCTTAGAGACTCCTTAATGTAGAGAAAAGCAGGGTATAAAAACCCACTTTTCTTCTTCTTTTCTGTATAGGGTAATAGGGTAGGGTAATAAAGGTACTTGCTGATTAATTGCTCGTCTCCCTTCCAACTTTTTTTCTCAAAAGTTTATCATCCCAGACTGTGTTCAATGGACTTAAACAATCTTCTCTTTGAAGCTCAGGACTCATGTTTTGAGCAGTTTTCACACATGGGGGCACTCTCCATGCATCAGGCCTGAAGCAGAGATTGATTTGGGTAACAAGGAGTTTGGATCCCATGATAACAACAGGATCAGGGGCCGCCCTCGGAAGATCTGCCATAAATTTGCATGGCACTGACACTGCTGGATTAGCTTTGGACTATCTACAGGACAGGAGCTGTGGTGGCCCAAGTGGTTAAGACGCTGAACTGCAGGCTGTGGAAGGTCAGTAGTTCAGCAGTTCGAGACCCGGGTGCCGCATGATGGAGTGAGCTCCCGTCACTAGTTCCAGCTCCTGCAAACCTAGCAGTTCGAAAGCAAGAAACTGCAAGTAGATAAATAGGTACCACTTCGGTGGGAAGGTAACAGCGTTCCGTGCACCTTGGTGTTTAGTCATGCCGGCCATATGACCACGGAAACGTCTTCGGACAGCGCTGGCTCTTCGGCTTTGAAACGGAGATGAGCACCGCAACCCTAGAGTCAGACTCAACTGGCTTTCAAGCAAGGGAACCTTTACCTTTACTATCTACAGGACAATATCACTCCTAAGGAAATGATAGATACTACCATGAGACCTAAGGAAATGATTGATACCACCATGAAAATATTCAAAGACCATAATAATAATAATAGTTTATGATGGGAAGGATTTCCAACAGCAGAGCTGGGCTTCCCCACCCCCTCCTCCAGCTGCTGCCCAAACTGCCCCTCAAATGCTGCTCCGGGTAGGCCGGGGATAGGCCGGGGACACCCCAGGAACAGTATAGGGGAAGTCTGAGGTCAGTGGAGTCAAGGGAGTATCTGAGGGACTCATCCATCTTTCCACTAGTGGAAATTTTCCACAGGGTGCAACCCCACTGATTATGTGGTCTGTAGCATGCAACAGCTTATGCCACAATAAACCTATTAGCCTCTCATGTGCTACTGGCATCCTTTTTTGTTTTTAGATTGGGGAGGGACAAATTGTACAGTAGGTTTTGATCAGGCTGCCTTTCAGGGAAGCTCATTGTCCAGTGCTGCAAGTAGAGTTCATTTTATGTAAGACATTTCTATGCCACCTTTCCAACCGATTCAGGGTCCCCAAAGTGGGGAACATTAAAATATTTCAAACATCAAAAAGCACTTAAAACATGCCCTGATTACTGGGTAGCCCATGCAAGCCAGATCTCATCAGATCTTGGAAGCTAAGCAGGGCCAACTCTGGCAAGTACTTGGATGGGAGACCTCCCTGAAATACCAAAGGCAGGAGGCAGGGGCAGGCTTTACTCAGCCACCTCTCTGAATATCCTCCAGGCCCCCAGTAGGGGTCAGTCACCAGAGGTTGCCATGACTTCCAGGTATACACACATGCATGTATAAAAAAATACCACAAAAGCATTAAACCAAAAGGTTATCGTTTTAAAATAAAACATACAATATACACAAATGGGGAAAATTAGTGAGGGAATACAAAAAAAAAGCTTTCATTCATTGGTGGAAGACAATAGAAGGAGAGACAAATCTCTCTTTGGAGAGTTCCACAAGTGTCAGCACCACAACCAAGAAGACCCTGTCTCATGTTGACATCCACCTAGCTTCAGATGGCAAGGGAACCCAAGATGACTGGAGTGTGGCACCTCCATTTTGTCAGGATTATGTTTCAGTTTATTAGCCCTCATCCATCCCAAACCTGCATCCAGGCACCTGTTTGCAGTTTCCACTGCTTCCGCTTCCCTGGGATTTACTGTTAGGGATCCCAGCCTCCAGCTGGGACTTGGGGATCCCACAGAATTATACCTCATCTCCAGACTACAGAAATCAGTTCTCCTGGAGAAAATGGTTGTTTCAGAGGGTGGACTCTATGGCATTATGCTTCACAGAGGTCCCTGTCCTCCCCAGGCTCCACTCCCAAATCTCCAGGAATTTCCCAACCTGGATCTGACAACCCTACCCCCCACCCCCCGTCACTGGCCTGGAGGGATCTGGCAAACCTATATAGAGCTGAGTGTCATCCACATACCCAGCTCAAATCTCCATATGACCTCTCCCAGCAGCTTCATGTAGGTATTAAAAGGCACAGGAGGTAAGATGGAACATTGCGAGACCCTGTAGGCCAGAAGCCAAGGGGCTGAACACCAGTCCCCTAGCACATTGAGTCCCCTCCCCCTCCAAAAGTTACTATGATCATTGGTATCAAAAGTTGCTGAGACATCCAGGAGAATTCATGATTTCTTCAGGAAGAGGAGGAGGAGGAGGAGGAGGAGGAGGAGGAGGAGGAAATTGGATTTATACCCCACCCTCTACTACCCAAAGGAGTCTCAGAGCGGCTTACAAACTCCTTTCCCTTCCCCTCCCCACAACAGACACCCTGTGAGGTGGGTGGGGCTGAGAGAACTCTTGACAGAAATTGCTCTTTTTCAAGAACAGCTGTGCCAGAACTATGGCTTGCCCAAGGTCATCCAGCAGGTGCAAGTGGAGGAGTGGGGAATCAAACCTGGTTCTCCCAGATTAGAGTCCGCACACTTAACCACTACACCAAACTGGCACTAATGGGGACTGGAGGAATGACTCCAATTACCAAATCAATGACAGAAATGTAGAATAGTTTCATTGTTTCTGGATGATTTCTCAAGACAGGCAATGTTGTATCATAGTTAACACTGTACATGCACCAAGGAGACCTGGATTTGAACCCATGCTTAAGT